TTAAGGAGTTATGTATGAAAAGAAAGAAAGACTAGTTGGTTAAAATTATAGTCACACATTTTAAGTTGATATGTCATTTTCTTCTATAACCAATCCAAGAGACCAACCATTTTCTTCCATCTCGACCTAAAAAACCATTTTCTTGTATCCCAATCGTATCCTCACACAATGAGTTACTTGACTTTGAAGCAAGATGAAATTCATAACAATATTTGGACTGGCGTCTAATAAATCGTCCAAATTTGTCCTGAAATAATCAGACATGGCGGGTAAATTACGCATTTCTACTTGATGTTAGCACCTTAATTAACTATAAATTTATCATTCACCCACAGTTTGTGGAGTACGTTGATGGTTATGTTTGATCCCTTGTCTATATGTTCCCGATGCCTCTAACAACCATTCCGATATTTAATCACATTGGATCGATTTATATATTTTGTGTTTATGTATATATAAGTAATTTTGGGGGAGAAAAGTCCATGGATGTGAAAATGCAAGTTATAACGGTGACTATATTTACGCCCAAGCTCTGCTCTCAAATATTTTAATTAATAATCTACGATTATTTGACTAAAATAAAAAAATTCAGAAAGAAAATAAAAATCTAAATGAAATTTTCTGAACAATAAAGTGTCAAGATGTAGAATATTTTGATTAGGTATGTTGATTTTAGGCATTCTCCCTATCACTTCGCACCAAAGTTCAAATTTCTCATAATCATCTTTGACAAAGATGCAATAGTATAGATGAAGCAGTTGAGAGCAAATATCCCAGATCTAAAATCCCAAATTCTAATACAAATCCATCTAAATTGGCAACAAATTGTCTTTTTAAGACACGTGTCCTACTGGGATAATTCATGCATGATAATATTTTTCCACTAACCATGATCATTTGAAAATAATTATGGTTATTAAAAAGGCACTTACAATTGGGAGGTAGGATATGGCAAACACTTGTAAGATATAACGATGCATATTTACTATTTTGTAGGGTTCATTAGTTAGTAATGATAACCATAAAATTATGGTATATGGTATATTAGAATATAGTCGTTATCAACTTACATGTTAAATTATGAATAGACGACAAGTTTATATCTTATGATATAATATTAATAATCTATTCACATGTCATAACATAAATAAATTTTTTATACTGCAACTATATTTTAGTATCACACAATAATTTTACGTCTAAATCTTAGACAGATAATTATTGACGAGTTGTCTACATTGTGATGACAACTACAACGTGAATGGTGCTTGCTGAATTCCATGAAAAATTCGTTTGCTACTTGGAGACATTCATAACCTTTTCTATAATTATGAGATTATTAGTTTTGTTCATGTTTATCTCGAAGCCAACTTTGTAGCTGATAAATTAGCTGTTATAGAGCACTCTATGTCCTGAGATTGCGTTTGGCTTGATTTTATCCCTGGTAGTTCAAGGAATGCCTTAAGCTTTGATAATTGTTGTAATGGTTGCCCAAGGGGCTTTTGTGTTTCATTTAATTTCCTACTTTCAAAAAACTGCAACGTACTAAAGATCTGCAAGCGTAAGAGCCAAGTTACCAGCAACTATGGGGACCAAAAGGTAATAATCAAGTTGTTGATGCACTTGGCCCATGTTTAGTGCTGTATCATATCTTTCAGAGAGATTTATTGATTAATTGTTTTGCTTTATGTACTGAAAGATTTATGGGTATGATATTCATACACTTTTTCTTACTTTTCATACTCTTCTAAATTTCGGCCGTCGGATCGAATAGATTGAAGAAAATTAAAGGATAAAAATTAACAAGAGGTGCGTGAGAAAAAAAAATGGGTGTGGATAGCACCCCAAGATTTATTGATTCCATAATAAATGGGCTTTAACTAAAGAATCCGAATCCTCGTCGGATTCTCTTTGTGAGGATCTTGAAAATCCGTGAATTATGTCTGTTCATCGTATATCGTGTGATCATAAATCATTTTAAATATTTTTATTTAAAATTAAATACAAACAGTACCTGACAAAAACTAATCGCTCATATACACGATGAATGTATATGATTTACAGATCTCCAGGATTCTCACCAAAATGATTTGGAAAGAATCCTGTTGGTTAACTAAATGCCTTTTTAAACAAGGAAAAGCCAACGTGCTAATTAATGATGGAGAAAGCCGGTTGTTAGCTTTTTTTATTTTTTATTTTTTATTTTTGGTTAAATAAAGAGTAATATTAACAGGGCAAAATCCAAAGAGAACATGGAACAAGTAAAAGAAACTCTCAAGGCACCAACAAAAGGGGAAACAACCCCAAAACAAAGCCTAACCCACGCAGGGGAAGACGATAAGAAAGCCTAGAGCCTAAGGAGCAGCAACATTTCAATTATGGAGGACCGTCATGTTAAAGGTTGAGGGCTTAACATGTAAAGTACACAACCGACATCAGATCATATTAGTGATCAATTAAAGAAGTGCAGCAAGAGTTTTCCTACAATTGTTGAACATGCGGTTATTCCGTTCACACCAACCCGGTTGTTAACTTTAAAGTATGTTCACCACACACTTCAAAGTTTGTCTAGTTGTGAATAACGTGTCTTGAGCATATAAACTAGACCTGATAATTTCTTACACGACCTGTTAACACGACACGAAAATAATGGGTTTCTGGTCAATATGATAACTAATCGGGTCACACGATAATAATGGGTCCTTAACAGGTTTACACGAGAATGACACACAGGTAACCTGTTTCGACACGATAAGAAAAAAGTTATTTTAAAGATTTTAATTTTTCAAACTACTAAAAAAAACTTACTATAAAATACAATATATATAATGAATATGTATATATTGTTTATTAATTATTATTCTATATAAATTTTAAAATGTAAGTTTTATTTATTTTTATAGTATTTTAAAAATACCAAACACATTAAAAAAATTATAATTATTAATTTACATGTGCCAAAAATATGAAAAAATATGCAAACGCTCTTAGTCACATCCTCTATGCTTTGAGGATGGGTATACGATCATTTGAATTTTTAAAACCATACAAACTCTCATGAATAGTATTTTTAAGGGAGTTCAAAATAAACAAAATTCCTAATCATTAATGTTTAAGTCTGAAAGATGTGAAGGCATAATAAACGTTCATAATTGCATCCTCAATGCTTAGACGCTGGTTACATGGTTGTTTAGATTTTTAAAACCCTCCAAACCTCATGAACAGTGTTTTTTATTTGAGTGAAAAATTAATAAAAATAATAATAATTATTTTAGAAATGTGAAAAATGTAATCACTCGTAATGAAAAACTTTACAACTTTCATGAAGGGGTCAACTCCAAAATTTAGTATATATACTAATTCAGTATTATGTTTTGCATTTTTTTGGGTCAAATTATGTTTTTCATTTTTATTGACTTAAAATATATTTTTCTTAATAGGTAACGGTTTTGGTCATATTACCTGACAATATTAACGGGTTGATTTCGGGTTGGGTCATATTACCCGTTTACTTTAACGGGTATTACACGACATGACCCGTTAAGCTATCCAGTATGACACGAAAACGACACGAATATGAGAAACACGACATGAATGCCAAGTCTAATATAAACTCAACGAGGGGATGCACACACCCCTCTATTTGTGAATAACGTATCTTGAACATATAAACTCTACGATTGGAACCCTTCAATTTATTAATCATCATTCAAAGATCACTCATACAAAAAATTATTCGAATAAAAAATTGTTTAATCATCCAAACATAACAAATAAATGAACGGTTCATCATGAATATGTTACTTGGTATCTACACTGTTGATTTGTTCTATACATTTCAATGACTGAGTAAGTTACGATTCAAATGATTTTTGTAGGATTGATCTTTAAATGAAGTTTAAGAAATTAAACAATTTCGATAATGAAATTTGTTCAATAAATTACATTATTTGCATGGGAGAATGAGCGCATTCCTTAAGGGGAATGCAAGTATTATCTCTAAAGAATTGAGTTCATGAAAGGAATCCAAAGAGAGAAGATGAAAATGGTAAAGAGAAGGGAATAATGGTTGGTCATGAATTGTGATAAGTAGTAGTAGGAATAAAAAAAAAAAGACAAGAGGGGGAGAGTGATTTGTCCATGTTAATCCATGATGATGATAGATTGGGTTGTCACACAAAAAAGCTAAAAGTTGCAAGTAGCACCACTCCATCACTTTCTTGTTCCTCTTGCCAGGTCACTCTCTCTCTCTCTCTCTCTCTCTCACCACAAGAATAAGAAGCAGCACTCAAAATTTTGAAAGGGAGGGGAACCGGATCCTCCGGATCCTTTAAAATTGAGCACACTAATAAATAAATTTGGTTTGTTGAAATTTGATCCAACGGTTATAATTATTATAATTTTTAGGAGAGCTCCTTGTTTGTAACCGTTGAATCAAATTTCAACGGCCTAGATTCATTGATTAATGAGCTTAGTTTGGGTGGATCTGATTCCAGAGGGAGGGAGTGTATGCTTTTAGTGCTTGTCTCTATCCCTCTCTAACTTTCATGTTTCTTAATTTTATGTTAAAGAAAGAAGAAAAACCCTACATCTTACACCTAATATTATAAACATTGTTTACAATTTAAATTGTGAATTATTATTAGCATTCTAAAAATTTTATTTGGCATTTCAAACTTTAGAACAAGAGATAGTTAAGAAAAATGATAAATACACCCTTTTAACTTTTTATATACTTTTTTTGTAATTTTGATTTGATTTATTTAATTCAATGTTCAATAATTAAAAAAGAGTGTGAAAACATTAAAAAAAATGTGTGAAAATCATCGTGGATAGTTAAATGTGATGTCAAGAATCTAATGAACCTTGGCTAATGGCTTCGATTGTTGTTTGTAAAATAATATAATAATAGCAGCAGGCTTGTTGTCCCTCTGTTACGTTTTTCTTGGACGACGCTTAACCAAATTCAAAGGTCTAAAACCTCGTCGTTTTCTGCTATTTCCTTCAGAGCTCTGTTATCTCTGTTCTTTTGCTGCTTTCTCACTTCACTCTGATTGAGGAGAGGAGGGAGAGAGAGAGAGAGAGAGGAGAGGAGAGAGAGAGAAGCTACAAACAACCAACACCAAATGCAAATGCAGGCATTCTCTTTCTGGGCCTTCCCCACTTCAACTTTCCCGCTCTCTTAATCATATATGAAATATAATCTCTCTCTCCTCCTCTCTCTCTAGTTCTTTATTACAGTTATGAAATTATGAGAGATTAAGTTGTCATCCCTCTGTTCATCTTTTTAGGATGCATTAAATTTGCATTTCTCCAGAAAAGAAAAAGAAGATGAATAACAGAGTACGCACTAATTTTCAGACCATGAAAGCTGCTCCTGCTATAAATCATGATACTAATAAAGTAAGTTGCTTTTCTTTTTTTCTTTATTTTTTTCTTTTTTGTGTTGTAATTCTTCTTCTTCCATTAAAGCTGAGAGGTCATATCAGTAACAAATTTCGAGGTCAGTGTGTTTGTTTCTCGAGAAAAGTATTTCTGGGTTCTCTTCTTCTGGTCTTCTAGACCTTAACCTTTCTGAAAATGGAGTTTTTGGATATGGGCAATAGGCATCTAAATTGGGTTCTCAAATTTACTTGAAAAAGAAGAGGCTTTTAATTTACTTGTCCATTTTTTGCATGTAATTTCATAACTATTGAGACATTAAATATTTTTTACTTCCAAAATCTTTCCTTCCAATTTTGTGTAATCTCCCACTGAGCTGTGAAAAGCGAGGCACTTTTGATCCTAAATCCAAATCCAAATTTGGGTTAATTTTCTTTTGTTACGTAGTGTTTGTTTTTCTTCTTCCATGTTAACGAAGAAAAGAATAATTTTTGTTTCTCCCTTTGGTGTCCTTTTTCTCAGACACACCGATCCCATTTTCTTGCTTATGACATTGATATAATTTTGGTGTTGAATTTGTAAAGAAGAAGATGGATTCTCAGAAGAGCAGAGCAATGGGCACTGAGAGAACTGCAATCAATCGGCGTAAATCGAACCGTGAAAGAAAAATGGCATTGCAGCAAGATGTAATCTTCCAACATTTTAATTGGGTTTCTTAATTTCTGCAAAAGAACTGTTCTTTTAATGTTGTTGTCGTTGACTTATTGGTTTGGTTTGTAATTTGCAGGTTGATAAGCTGAAGAAGAAGCTCAGACATGAAGAGAACGTCCACAGAGCATTGGAGAGGGCTTTTACAAGACCATTGGGAGCTCTGCCTCGTCTTCCTCCTTATCTCCCTTCACATGTTAGTACAATCCTCTCTCTCTCTCTCTCTCTCTAAAAACCCAGAAGAACGCTTTTCCAAGATTAGAAATTGAAGAAGAATACGATATGTGATGTTTTTTGTTTCAGACATTAGAACTTCTAGCTGAAGTAGCTGTTTTAGAAGAGGAGGTTGTTCGGCTCGAAGAGCAGGTTGTGAATTTTAGACAAGGTCTCTATCAGCAAGCTGTGTATCTGTCCTCCAACAGGAGTGTCGAAACTTCGAATGATTCAATTGAGCAGACCCCGGTTCGAGTCTCTAAACATCAGAGGTCAAAATCTATGTCACATAATGAGTTCATGTCAGCCGCATCAGCCAGCAGGATTCCACCTTCGCTTGCTCGATGCGCTTCGAGCAGAAGGATGATGTCCACTCATCATATCGTCTCTGATCGAATAGGGAATTGTTCTGGTAGGCAAGTCAATGGAAAACAAACTCCCAGGAAACCCAATTCCATAACACCAATTGCAGAAGATGGTAGAGGAAAAGAGAATCGGTTATGCTCTAATGCGGTGAAGGATAAGCAATCTCCTGACAAGAAAACTGCTAAAATTGTAACCCCAGTAAAGAAATCACCTACAAAACATGAATCCGTGGCAAAGTGTTCGGACGTGTTGAAGTTAGAGGTAAGCAAGCTCTGATTAAAGTTTCTAATTATTAGATTCAATCATTAACACATTGTGGTTATTTAATTGCAAATTTGATTGTTCAGCTAGAATGCAGATTAGTAGACCAGGAAAGAGCACATGAGAGTTCATCTAGTTCTTCGGATGATAGGGATCCGGATGCTGATGTCACTCCTAATAAAGTGTCCGAGGATATTGTGAAGTGTTTGTCCAGCATTTTTGTGAGGATGAGCAGTTTGAAGGACAAGGGAGAGGAAGTGCGAAGTTCTAGATCAACATTATCTGCTCATGCAGCAAATGGAGAGATGGGATTTCAAGATCCTTATGGTATTTGTTTGGAATTCAGAAACATAGACGTTGGCCCCTATAAAGATCTCCATTCGATTGATATTGGTTCAGTTGATCTCAACAGAACAACAAGCACATTAATTCTGATGCACAGATTAAAGTGAGCTTTTGGTTTGTCTAATCTTGGTCCTCAGTTAATCATAGTGCTTTGGATTGTGTTTAATTAATTTCTCTTCTGAAAAATCACCAGGTTCCTACTTGGAAAGCTTGCCACTGTGAATCTGGAGGGTCTAAACCATCAGCAGAAGCTTGCATTTTGGATCAACACTTATAATTCCTGCATGATGAAGGTGATGCCGCATCTCTATCAAGAAACCGAAAATCAAAGATTTATGGTGTCCCAACTGCAAGTTTGATCAATTCTTTTTTTTTCAAAGACATTGGACATTGTACCTTTGGAAAACACCTTTTCTTTTACCTGGTATATCTAAAACAAAAACAACACACTCAAAACTGTTTGTATTACCACTGTTGCAGGCATTTTTAGAGCATGGGATACCCGAGACTCCTGAAATGGTTGTAGGTCTAATGCAAAAGGTAAGATCAATTCATCCTTCATGTCAACCAATTCCATTGAACACAAACAAACACACGCACAAACAAGGATTGGATTCTTTAACTTTGTATACCCCAAATGCCATCATGCACAGCACTCCATTATGTAATGTTCTGTTTCTGTTGATATCAACTGTCATATAATCATTTTTCGTAAGCTGATTTTGGCTGTCTTTGCGTCAGGCAACAATAGGTGTCGGGGGACACTCGCTAAATGCAATTACAATCGAGCATTTCATTTTAAGACTGCCCTATCACTTAAAATTTGTAAGTATATTCCCCCTAGTGCTTTTAGGCTAGAATTACTGACTTCTGAGTGACTGAGTTTGTGTCATCTCATGCATATGAAATGCAAATTAAGTTTCACATTGTTTCTACTCTTACAACAGACATGTCCAAAAGCTGCGAAAAATGATGAGATGAAAGCTCGCAGCGTTTTCGGATTGGAGTGGTCCGAACCCTTGGTTACGTTTGCACTTTCGTGTGGAAGCTGGTCCTCCCCCACTGTAAGCTAATCTAAAATTTATTTTTTCATTCTAAATTAAGGCAAAGCTTCCCAATTAAATGGTGAATCTTGTGATACTCACACTCCCGGTTTTTCCTTCTCCGCTCCTCCCTTGTATTCTCTCACTCCCCTTTCGTTTACTCAAACCTAAGGCTAGAAAAAGAGGGAGGGGTGCATGAGAAGAAAAGGGGAGCCTGAAAATCACTTTCCTTATGTGAAATCATCTGTATAAACCTATTCGGTTCATTCTGATATGCAAAAATTCTTGTGAAACAAAAGGTGAGAGTGTACTCAGCAGCCCATGTGGAAGAAGAGTTGGAAGCAGCAAAAAGGGAGTACATACAGGCAGCAGTTGGCATTTCAAAGATAAACAAACTGATCATCCCCAAACTTTTGGATTGGTATTTACTCGATTTCGCAAAGGATTTGGAGTCATTGGTTGATTGGGTTTGCATGCAGCTACCAAATGAACTGAGAAATGAGGTAGTTCAATGCCTTGAAGGGAGGGGAAGGGAGGAGCCCTTTTCACAGATGGTGCAAATAATGCCATACAATTTCAGCTTCAGGCTGCTCTTACAGCGATGAAAGACGCATTTTGTTTAAAAAAAAAATTTGGTCCAATTCTATAGTATGCATGGTCTTTGTGAACATTGGTTATGGTGCTGGGTTTGTTGAGGGAAACTTGGTAGGCGTCCGACAGCTCTCACATTGGATGGAACCAGTACGTTGGTCGAGTGTGACCAAAATAAAGGAGGTCCCGTGCTTTTCTAAGAGTTGCTGTAACACTAGTTTTTCTTGGGTTTGTATATTGGTATAGTAAACAAGGTATGAAAAGTGCATATAAAGTTGGGTTTGGGGAAGAAGCGCAATTTTTTTGGAGTCATTTTTTGTGTATCTTTTCAAGATAATGAATCGAACTATGAATTAACACTATGAATACGGAAACAAGAACGTGTCACTTGTGTTTTTGCAAACATGTCAAATTTTGATTTGTCAGAAATGATGAATAACTCCTAGCATGTAAAAAGCGGCAAACTTTTTTCATTTAATAATAAGCTAAACAACCCCACATGACCAAGTCGTGTCTTTTTGTTTGATCTTTGGTACAATAATTTGCACCTCTAAATGCAATTTGTGGGTGAAAATTAATCCCCAGCAGACAAAAACCATCGAGTAAACAAAATAATTCAATCCACTGAAAAAGGGACCTCTAGGGTTACAGCCTTTTGGTTGAGGAAACAAAAATGTCCTTGCGTGACAAACTGGCAGTACGATTTAGCTTTCGAAGAAGAAATAAAGAGAAGTGGACAGAGGGCTGCTTTTGGATTTCCCTTTGGGCTTTGAGCCGTAGGGTAACAAATTTGGCCAATCAACTAAAGGGCTACCCTATAATGTAAGGCCATCTCTAACGAGCGTATCTGGCTAATATATATATTTTTTTTGAACAAAATTATTTATGCTAAGGGATGGACGAGTGAGCTAGCAATGATGTGGTTTATATTTCTTTTGGCAAGAATCGAACCTATGGTCTCTCACTTACCAGTGAAAATAAATACTACTAGACTGTCAAAAGCCGCAGTGGGATTGCCATAGGAAAGCTTGCCCCCGCTAGCTAAAATGAGCCGACCTAGCTTCTTTCTTTTAGTACTTGCTCTTGTTGCTTTTATTTCAAGCGTGTCGAAAGCCTAATATAAATGTACCAAGATTGGGTGGCCGACTACTACGACTACATGCGCATTTAGTGCAGTGACTTAGAAGCAAGCTACCTTGAGCATCTTCCGAAGTTCTAAATATTCTACTGATCAAACGTTGCTATTAGCTTATTTATTTACTTGAGGCATAGGCATAGGGGGGATAGAGCTTTGCTTTCGTATAGGGCTAAAAAGAAGCTCTATAAGCCGAAATATAGCACTTGTAGCTAAAACTGTGTGCAGGGCTTTTATTAGCCCTCCATGGTTGGAGATGGCCTAACTCAACCGTTTAAATTTTAGATCTTCATTAAACCGTTTTGTCATCTAAGACGAGTAACAAGTAAAACACTGTTTGTTAGATACAACTGAAATGAAAATTTGATAATTACTGTCGTTGCCAATTTCTAAACGAATAATGAAAGAGAACCTAAAAACTGTTCCGGTTGTCGGATTTACACCTCGGAACAATTGGATTGCAAGTAGTAGTGCTGTAAAAAGGGAATCCCAATTTCCCACTTGCCAAATTATGAAGCATGCAAAGTGAAACAGTTGGAATCTAACTTTGTACCTTGCTTTGCTAAAGGAAAAAAAAAAATCTAGAAACACTGAAAAATTGCTCTGAGATGCACCAAGAGAAGAGGCCCCTCTTGTTAGCTTTTGTAACTTCAATTATTTTACTTTACTTTGAACCAAAACGTACAAAGATGGATGAACAGGACAAGATACTAAATGCTTAAATGAGAAGAAAAACTTGCATGCAGCGTGGTGAATAACCCTTTGTCTCTCTCTCCACGCAAGGAGAGAGACGCACAGGACATACGCAGCTTTTTCATGTGTCAGGTGAGGAGAGGGAAACAGAGAGGCGTATCCACATCGCATGCAAATTTTAGTTCTAAATGATGAAAGCATCACGATTCACAGAGAGCAACAATGAGAAAACACTGCTCAACTAAATTTTAGATATCATAGGATCCAGTTCTTTACAAAGTAAGGGAAAGTAATCACAAAACTGGGAACTTCACTGAATTGGATAATGACAATAAAAAATGGGTGGGGTGGGGGTAAACACACAAGAGAAAAGACAATAATAAGGGCATGACAATAAACTCAAACTCAAACTCAAATACAAACAGATAAACATGATACATTATATACCTAACGGGAAGTGGTATGATCTCTCCGGGGTGGGTAAAGCCTCCTCCGAACCATATAGCAACTACATTTGAGGTTAAAGATATGCTACAATGTTTGGGGCTAATTCCATCAAAGTTGGGCCTGCACGCGAGCATGTTGCGGAAATTTAGACCTCAACCAAACGGTGAAGGAACAGGCCCTGGCCCTGTGAGAGCATCTGATCTTTTAATGCTTCCCATACCGCAAATAATGCAACCGGGTGCTGAGAGAGCTGAAAATTTGGCCCCACAAAGATCACAAACGTCATATCCAATAGTTGACAGACGACTAAGTGTGGCGGCACAGAACTGGGAAGGATCCTCAAGTGGATCAATGGACTTGTTGGTCAGACCCCTTTGCACACACATATCAACTAAGCTCCTCAACTCTTCCTGCTTACTTGGAGGTGCTTTGGATAGCAGGAGTTCAAGCATCTGCTTTGAATAAGCATAATTCTGCACCTCCATGTTCCGCTTAATCGCAGTTCGGATACAATTTATCCTGTGCTTTGCCAGAAGAGGCAACGAACCCAGGTGGCGTGAAAGTCTTGCCATCTCATCTTTTGCACTGATTGCACTAGGACCTTGAACTCTTTGCAGCCGCCCAATTTCCTGTGGATGAAAACCAAATTAGAGGTGAGTTATCTGCCATTATTTTGAAACACAAGATTTCAGATCAGTTTTTTACGGGATCTTACAACCAATAGAAATAATCAAATATGGAATATGATATTCCAACCCCCAGGTGTTTTTAGTTCCCTAGTGTCAATATAGAGGCAAAAGGGTTGTATATAATCCATAAGTCACTTAGCCTAAAGAGCACATTTCATCTGTTTATTTTAACACTTGAATAATGATTATAACTACCCGAAGAAGAGTGACTGCTATCTTGTATTGCGCACAGATGGTCCCTTGCGCTTTAATATCAGCTCCACGAGACTGATCCTTAGCCAATGCAAGAAAAGCTTCGTCAAAGCAAGACAACGCATCTGAAAGTTGATTCTGCTCAAGGTGGGCAACTCCAGTTTTAAAACATACAGAAGCTGCAGCACCACGGGGTACCTGTTATGATGAAAACCAGGAAATAAAAGTGGATTAAATGGTGGGAATCGAAGCTTGTGTCCACGTACATGTAAGTACTACCTGTCCAGGACGCACAGAAGATGGTGGAGAAGGAGGCTGCACTGAAGGTTTTCCAGAGTCAGTAGAATTTGGAACCCCAAGGACACTAAGATCAAGAGGTCGAGTAGAAACTGGGAACTGAGTTGATTGAATATGAGATTGTTGCTGCGCAGCAACCTGGCCTAAGGATGGTGGGACACCACCATCAGGAAGTCCAACTGGGCTCGAATGGAGCAGCAGTTGACTAGCTTGAGGGGGAACACCAGCATCAGGAAGACGGACATTGGCACTGGATGCATTGGTCTGGCTAAATGCTTCCTTGTTGCTTTCAAACCCTTGAGAAGCTTGATCCATTTTTGAAAGATAGGTCCCAGGAGGGGGCAGTGTGGCTGCAACCTGAAGGGATGGTATCGTATTCTGGAAAAAGTCCTCTGGAATAGGTACAGCTCCAACCCCCTTAACTGTTGAGGTAGGAGCTTGATGTGATACTGTTGCAGGTTGTGTAAACGAGTCCATACCAAATAGATCACCAGGGGCAGAGCCTACACGAGGAGCCATTGACCCACTGTTAACTGGAGGAGGTGGTTGGGATAACATCTGGCTAAGGTCCTGGGATCCCATGGTCAATGATTTGGTCCTGGTCATAGGTGGACCCAACCCTTCACCAAGTTTGAGCTGCTTCGTGGCTTCTTTGATTTTATCCACATCCACAGCAGTAGAAGCAATGGGCTTGTCTCTTATTCGAATGTGTAACTTTTTAGCTTTTGAAGTTCCCTCTTCATCACTGCTGCTGCCATCAGCTGCACCGTACATTGTTTTCTTGAATTCTTCTTCAGCTTTAGCCTGTTCATCTGCTGCAGAGGAACTGGCAAATTGTTTGTTAAGTGTTTCCAGACCCATCAACGAACCACCACCAGGCACTCCCCTGGACACATTAGATGTGGATTTAGACAACGGAAGACCATTTAGCTTGTTGTCACCACCTGCAGATATAAAAGCTTTGACCAAGCTATCTTCCCTTACTTCTACAATGTTGCCACGTCCTTTGATTGATCCCAAGTAAACACCAATATGATCAGCGATAATGGATGGGATGGTGCCATCGTCAGTCTTCATGTATGGCATCACCTCTGCAGCCAGTTCCCACTGAGGAACAGCCTTCATGTTTGTTGGTGTTTTGATCTCCCAGTTCCCACCACCCCATTCCGGACCTTTAGGGACCATACTCTCAGCAGCAAAGTTAGCGAAAATTCCTTGAGTCCATCCAGTAGAACGGACTCTTAAAATCCTTTCACAGTATCGTCTTAATTCTGAATCTGTGCCATCTTCTTCTAGTTTTTGAGCAAGACGCCGCATGGCACTGGGGTTAAGGTGGCATATAAAGAGGTCGAGCATACTTTCATAATCAGCTATAACTTCAAAGGTTTCTTTTGCACTATCAAACTGCCCAAACCTGCAATTTTATCTTAAGTTATAGAACAAAAGTTGCTTCAATGAAGACAAAGTAACATGAGAACTATTTTTTTTACAGAAAGTAACATGACAACCACCAATCCATCAGTTCTTCAGCAATGAGCTGGAACCCTGGATGGAGCAATCTAAATAAACAACAGAAAAGAAAAACCTTCAATGCGGCTTGACAAGCATAACTCATGAAAAGGGATGTCAAATATAAGCTCAATATAACTTCAAGTACATAAGCATGCACTTGAAAAAGAATTTGATCCACCAGAACAACTTTTGTCAAGCAAGCATTATCACAGATTGAATAATTCCTCCAAGCATAGGCAGACCTATAATCCTTCATGCACAAGGTAAAGAAACTATGGATTCCTATTTTAACCACTACATCAGAGTCAATCCCCTACCAAGTTTCTTTTTATTATTTATCTCCTGCTCTGTTCCACATATTCCTGTCATAATCTTGTACAACATGCAAAGTTTA